AAAAACCTGTGGTATGCAGATGATACAACCTTGTTAGCTGAAAGTGAAGAGGACTTAAATATTTACTGGTGAAGAAAAAAGACCACAGCCTTCAGCATTGGGTTGCACATAAATGTAAGGAAAACAAAAATTCTCACAACTGGACCAATAAGTAACATCATGATATATGGAGAAAAGACTGAAGTTTTCAAAGACTTCATTTTGCTTGGATCTACAATCAACACTCATGGAAGCAGTGATCAAGAAATCAAACGAAGTATTGCATTAGGTAAATCTGCCGCACAAGACCTCTTTATAGTGTTCAAGAGCAAAGTAATCCGTTTGAGGACTAAAGTGGGCCTGAGCCAAGCCATGATATTATCAATAGCCTCATATGCATGTGAATTGCATATTGCATTAGGCAAATCTGCTGCACAACACCTTTTTAAAGAGTTGAAGAGCAAAGATGTCTGCTTGAGGACTAAGGTGCACCTGACCCAAGACATGATATTTTCAATAACATCATATGCATGCGAAAGCTGGACAGTGAATAAGGAAGACCGTAGAATTGATGCTTTTGAGTTATGGTGTTGAAGGAGAATATTGAAAGTACTATGGGTTGCCACAAGAACAAACAGATCAGTGTTGGAAGAAGAGCAGCCAGAGTGCTCCTTGGAGGCCAGGATAGCCAAACTTCATTTCTCATACTTCGGACATATTGTTCGAAGGGACCAGTCTCACTGGAGAAGGATATCATGTCTGGTATGGTGGAGGATCAGAAAGAAAGAGGAAGACCCCCAATAAGATGGATTAACAAAATACCAGCATCAAAGGGCTCAAGTGTGGCAACAATTGTGAGGTTGGTCCTGTACTTGGCAGTGTTTTTTCCTGTTGTACATAGGGTTGCTATGAGTCAGTACTAACTCGATGGTACCTAACAACATTGTTTTTGTTGTTGTTAAGTGCCGTCAAGTCGATTCCAACCTGTAGCGACCCTGTATAGGGTTTCTGAGAAGCAGCTGGTGAGCTTGAACTGCCAACCTTAGATTTCAAATGACTTTGCAGTCTGATGCATTAACCTACAGTGCCACACCAGGACTCCAACATATGCATGTGAAAATCAGACAATGAATAAGGAAGATCATAGAATTGATGCATCTGAATTATGGTGTTGGAGAATAATATTGAAAGCATCATGGATTGCCAGAACAACAAACAAAATCTTGTTTGAAGTACTGCCAGAATGTTCCTTAGAAGCCAGGATTACAATACTTATCTCTCATACTTTGGACATGTTATCAGAAGGGACCAGTCAGTGAAGAAGGATGTATGCTTGGTGAAGTGGAGGGTCTATGCATAAAAAAAAGGAAGTCCAACAGCTAGATGGGATTGGTACAGTAGCAGCAGCAAAGAGCTCCAGTTTAACAATTGTAAGGATGGTGCAGGATCATGCAGTTTTCTTTGTTGTGCATAGGGTTGCTGTGAGTCATAGTGGCTTGACTCCAGCATGCAGATCTTGCCCAAGAGTGAGCAGCAGTTCAAGTGGCCTTCAAAAATCTGAAGTGTAGGCTGCCTGTCTGTAAGGGACTAAAATTATTGCTAGAGAAGCAGCTTTGGGATACCCACTGGACCAGTGTCACAGATACTGGTTTATCTGAAACTATTAAAAAATCACAGAAGTGGTGCAATCTAGAAAATAATAAGTGAGTTTGTGGACAGTTGGCACAAGTTATTGTCAGCAACCATAAGGGATTTTGCACTGGCCCCCATCCCCTTTTCTTCTGCACCTGTGTTTCTCTACTATTCCAGCAGGTGTCACTATAATCACAGAACAAACATTCCACAGCATTGTTTGTAACTTTATTTTTCTAGCATAATTTCAAGTATTTACACACTGCACACTCAGTTTTACAGATATTTATTCATATACCTATGAACCACATCTAAAAGTTTAGTTGGAAAGACTTGATACGTTATGGGGGAGGGGTTCCAAGCCTAACAAAGAGAAGGTGGAAAAAAGTAATTTTGAGTCTTAAAGACAGCTATGTGGTGCATTTGTGAAAAATAGCTGTTTTTTTTTTCCGCCAAAACCTGAAGCTCCCCCCAGAAACCTATCCATATATTAGTGTGACCCCTAATCTTCCGGTGATGGATTTTAAGAACAAACATGTGCAACTAGCATTTTCTCTAAAATCTTAGAAAACAGGAAGAAATAAACCTCTTATCCAGGTTAAAACTTTTTATGAAAATTAGCTATGGGGATTGTAATGTTGTACAAAGACACTGATGATAAAGGGCAAACAGCTAGACACAATATTAGACTAAGGGATGCAGGATGCTTTCAAGCACCCTTTCCAGCTAAATGATATGGTGATACTATCCAATTTTCTTTTTCCAGCTATTAGATACCAAAGCTATTTCTATATTGTTTTAACTCACTTTTAGACCGTTTGAACAGAAGTAGTGGTTAAAAGTATCCTCCAAGTACTTTTCTTCCACCATTTCCTCAATTACAAACATGTATTAGTTTCTGAATTGGGCCCATGGTTGCAAAGGTGAACAAAAGTAGGCACAGTTTAGAGTTGATGGCAGGTGGACTCTAGTCTACTGTCTACAAAAGGATAACAAGTTTAGGCTTCAACTGTCCACAATATTTCTTAAAAGCAAGCAGGATATCTTCATAATTTCCTAGACTGGCCCAGATTATTTTCACACACGAAGTACCTACAGAATTTGGCATCTTAACCCTCAACTCCATCCTATGACAAATTCACTTAGAAACAGGACATCACAAAATGGCATTCTCTTTTCCTGCCAGTTTGGGTCTCTGGTAATGCCATCAAGTCAGTTCCAACTCACAGCCATCCTGTAAGAGGGTTTCCCAGAAATGGCTGCTGAGCTTGAACCACTGTCCTTGTAATTCACACCGACCTTGCAGTCCAGTGCCTTATCACGAAGCACTACACCAGGGTTAGGCTTAGGGGCGGGATTACCTAATAAGCAAGGTAAACATGAGCCTATTGTAGTAATTTGTATGAGCAATTTCACGAATTTGAAAAACAGGTAAGTAAGCACAAGTCAGTCCACACTTATCTTTCTACTGGGTATTCAATTCCTATCAGAGATTGTAAATAGAAAAACAGCTTTAGTTCTGTATGAAGGTGCTGTGGGACCAAATCTTATTCACCGCAGATCAGTAAAGTATGATCATCTTATTATGCACTCTGACACTGTTGTTGGTATGAATAGGATATGGCATGAAGAAATTATCAGGCCAATTAAAATTAGGTATAGCCTTGGCTGAAATCACTATTTCAAGTGAACATTTTACATTTGCTTTTTTGTAACTTGCATTAATGTATCTTCTTCCTGGAGCCAAACATTTACTTGGAGATGTAACAGTATAAACCTAACTATCCTGGAGTTCATATTCTCACCCTATTTTGTTATTTTCCTTTTGCAAGGAGTACTCACACTGGAATGGAAGAGTGAAGGAGACAGAAATAATTTTACTTCATAGCGGCTTTGCCAAATTCAACGGGCAACTAAATATTCACCTACAGATGTCAAAAGTGAGTCTGATTTTAACAAGAGACAACCTGGGAAGCCATGTTTAATGAGAATGTCTGATTAACCAGGACCAAGTTAGTCACACAGCCAGTCAGGTCAAAGGAGCTTTTGTCATTATGTGTATTGCATCTCATTGTAATTAAGTGCCATAGGTTCTAACCTATAACGACCCTGTATTGAGTCTAGATATATCAGACTGTTTTGGAGGGCATGGGAGAATAAAATATTCTGTGAATGAGAACTGGACCCCTATATTAAAATCTATCTAACTAAAATCTGAAAGTGAAGTTGGGGAAAGCTTACTGGGATTGGAAACTTAGGCAATGTGCTTCTGCCTCAAAGAGTCAAGAAAGAGAAGGCTAAGGATATGGGTTTGTACAAATTATTGTTAAGTGCCGTTGAGTCGAATCTGACTCATAGCGTCCCTGTATGGGTTTCTGAAGGGCCGCTGGTGGGTTTGAACCACCACCTTGTGGTTCAAACCAACCTTGTGGTCCAGTGCTTATCCTTCAGTGCCACACCGTACAAATTAGAGGGGAAAAAAGCAAGTTATGGTTATCATAAAATGTGTGTTTTCATATTTTGTTTCCATAATGCAGTATAGAGTTATTAGAGGGAAAAGTATCAAAACAGATGAAATGAGAAAGTCTGGAAACTACTGGGGTCTAGCATAATGCCTGGTATTTATATATGAAATTGCCCTCACTCGACTCTTTTGACATACAAAAACAGCAGTTTCATATGACTCAACCTAAAATACTGTTAGGTGCTCAAATAAAATTAAACTGGTCAGTAAAAACTGTAATATCATCCCCCACCCTCCTGAAAAAGTGACAGCCATTAAACAGTGAGAAGACTCCGGAAGATCAGTGTTTAACAGAGTCAAAAGCACCTGTAAGGAGTGGGGTGAGGGGCGGTGGTTTAACAAGTTCTTCTTCTAAACAGTGGGCAGAAGAAGGGATATAGACATATTCAAAGGAATGAAGCAGTTTCACCAGGAGGCAGAAGAGGAAAACTGCACACTATGGTGAATCACTAGCGATGGGGAAAGGCAGGAAGACAGCCAAGATTAGCTAAGAACAATGTTATTTCAAAGGGAGTGCTGCGTATGGTGTCTGTGTATATGGACTATACATACTAACCACGTACACACATAAATATTTAATATATAAAAAATAAAGTGCTTTCTAACAGGTCCCCATGCAGGGACATTATAAAACATTTCACAAAACTGCAAAACAAAATCGTTACAATCAGAAACCACTATATCCAACATATATGAAAACAGCCAAACACAATATGTACAATCTGGTGGGTGTCCCAGGACAAACATCCTGTCATATACATGGTATATACATATATACTCTTATCTTTTACTCAATATATTATGACAATATATATTTTTAAATTCTGTTATAGACAAAAAAACAAAAAACACAAAAAGACAACCCCTAAAAAAACACAATGAGGAATAAGCATGTGAGTCCGAAACTGACAGAAAAGTCGCTGCCTCCTGGGGGAGCCCTGTTGCCACTGTTTGGGAAGATGTGCCAGCGTTCCTTCCTCGGATGCAGTGCCGCCACATCCTCCAAGGCACTGTGGGCTGCGGCGGTGAAGTTGGCATCACCAGTGGTGAGCAGGTCGAAGACACAGGACTGGAAATAGATGTCCTTCACTGGCATCTTCTCATGACATCGAGTGTTAGCTGTCTCCAGTGTATAGCCAGGCCAGGTCTGCGGCAAGGTGGTGCGAGGCAGGGTGTGCCCCAGGATGCCAGACACCTGGCCCTGCCCATCATCAATGCGTTCACTCAGGGGGCAGCCATTCACACACAACTGCAGGTCCTGGCTTTCCTCATAGGTCATGGCCAGGTCTTCGGGCATCCGGATGGCAAGGGTCAGGTAGCGACCTAGCTGCCGCACAAACACCGTGGTCCCAATGTAGCGGGCATGCATCTCCACATAGTGGCCACTCTCCCTCTCCACAATAAGCAGGCTCTTGGCATCACCATCTCCACCACTGGTGGTACCATCCACAAAGGCAGCCGGCAGGTCATCTGTCACAGCTTGGTACACTTTCTGATCTGTGCACTCATGCTGGGCTTTGAAGATGATCGTGATCTGCGGGAAAGAACACGTACAAAAGTTTAACATGACTAGAGGAAAACCGAATGGTATAATGCTCCATAACAAGAATTCTTTTTCATTTTAGAGTCAAATGGCTTAAGACAGAATTGTCTAAACACTTGCTACTGTCTCCCTCATGAATGACATCACTTTCAGGAGAGAAAAACAAAACTATGCATATTAAGTAGCCCTCAAGTAGAGCAAGGAGTCCTAGTGGTACAACAGTTAAAATACCAGAACGCTAATCAAAAATTTGGTAATTCAAATCCACCATATAGCTCCTCAGGAATAAAACCTGACTCTTTGCTCCTGGAGATATTACAGCTTAGGAAACCCTTTGAGACAGTTCAAACTCTGTCACATGGAGTCAAGTGCAAGTTGGAATCAACTCGACAGAACCTAAAAACAGTGCAAATGGTTAACATACTCAGCTGGTAATTAAAAGGTTGGGAGTGTGAGTTCACTCAGAGGTACCTTAGAAGTAAAGCTTGACAATCTACTTCTGAAAAATCAGCCACTGGGAAACTGTATGGAGTTCTATGCTGACACACATGGAATTACCATGAGTCAGAATTGATGCCATGGCAACTGTTCTGATAATTTATATCTCTTTCTAAGCTGCAATATATGTTGTTGTTGTTAAGTGCTGTTAAGTCCATTTCCATTTACAGCGACCCTGTATAGGGTTTCCATGGAGTGGCTAGTAGGTTTGAATTGCTGACTTAATGGTTAGCAGTCCAGTGTTTATCTTACAGTACGCCACAGCTCTTGAGGCCAAAAAAAAAAGATCTTTTCTAAGTCATATAGAAACTTAAAAGAGCTTAATTAACAATGTAACTTTAATAATTTTGATTCTATCCCAGGAACCCATCACTACAAACGTAAGAAACAGAAATAGTGCATGTATAAGCAGAGAGTTGATGAGAGAGCCTCCCAGCAACTGCTCCCCATCGTGTGCCTTAGGAAAGATTTCTCTAAGTCCCTTAATCAAATGTTTCACATCACTGGCTAATCCCTGTGACAGGGAAATCACTCAGCAAATAGAGCTCCAAAGCACTGGCAGGAAATAAAATACCCTAATCTTGGTTACAGCAAATGTTTTTACCCACAGCCCACTCTAAATTCTACAATTAATAGACAGATACTTCATAGAGAAAAACATCTAACAATACAAAACCTCCTTTTGACAAATTCATTTTTGTCCCTACAGAAAGAATCATAACAGTGGTTATTTAACACAACACAACAAAACAGAATCTTTGCCTCCAGCATACCCAACACCTCTCTGGGCCAGGTGGCAGAAGGCAGGTAAATGCAAAGATTTCTGTGTCACACAAGATGGGGAAACCTCACCAAAGAAAAATAAAACTTTATTTAAAACTATATATATTGTCAGTAACTGAGTAATAGCTTCTGTATTTCTTCCCTCTTGAAGGAACAACAACAACAAAAAAATTTCAAGTGACTTTGTTAAGGAAGAAGTAGACAAGCCAAAAGTCCACCAACTGTTCTGGATGGAGAAAACCTTCTACCTCCTGCAAGGGAACTAATGAAAACAATAAACCCTTGTTATAAAGGCCAGAAAGTGAGCCCTTCCCCTTACTCTCTCTACCTCACCACCCCGCTCAAGTTTATGTCTGAAGTTTTTTTCTCCAACTCGGCCAGCATTTGCTCATAGTATTTAATTCCACGTGTTCCCACTGGTGTTACTTGACTGGAATTTTCCAGCCATTTCATTTTACTTCAGCCAGTTATAAAGCCAGATCTGAACCAGCTGCACTGTAGCAACTGGTTAAATTCATATCCGTTGTTTGCAGCTGCAGCCAAGGCCAGACAATGCTCTATGAAAATGCTGGAGTTTCTCCCTCCCTAATTACCCTGAGCCACAATTTAATTTCACTACCAGCCTTCTCACATTTCAACACCTTTGCAACAACCCAAAGGAGTTGTACTAGAGATGATTTCAGGACATTTTTTGTCCACCCAACTGTAGGACCTTCCAAAGTGAATGGGATTTGAAGGTAGGTATCTAATGGGACTATAAAATAGATTTATTTGGTGGCTCTAAAGTCAGTTTGAAGAAGTCCTGGTGGTAATGCAGTGGTTTGGACCCACCTGCTGCTCTGTGGGAGAAAGACGGGGCAATCTGCTTCCATAAAGATTAATTACAGTCTTGGACACCATAAGGGGACATTTCTACTCTGTTCTACAGCGTGTTGCTATGAGTCCGAATCTACTCAATGACAGTGGTTTGGGTTTGACCTTTTTGGTTAAAGTCAGTTTGATGAGTGCTTTTCAAGAGTGGCTGGGACCTCTTGGAAGTGACAAGATTAATTCAAGAAAATTCTGCACCTGGAAAAGTTGGAAGTTAATAGTATATTGTTGCTAAGTGCCGGCAAGTCAGTTCCAGCTCATAGTGACCCTGTATAGGATTCCAGGGAGTGGCTGGTGAGTTTGAACCACAGACCTTGTGGTTAGTAGTCCAGCACTTATTCCACAGTGCCAACAACAATAGATTTTTCATAAAATCACATCCTCATTCTCAACTACAACATTCACATTCGAAGAGTAAACACTCTTCTATAACAGCTAAGTAATCTGTCTTTCTAGTCTAACAAACCTCAAATATCAACCAATTTGGCATTATTTGCAAGAGCATAATGCATTTTTTGTTCACATTAGGAAAGTCAAAAAGAAATTAGTTTGGATAGGATGACAAAGCTGAGATATCCAATGCAAAATAAGTTGTTTCCAAAAAGGCAAGCATCAATATGAACATAAGTGAAACAGTTAGTTCCAAATGTCTTCCCCAAGTCTGTTTTTTTTTTCATTAAGCGCACCAATTCCAACTCAGGAACTACATAGTCATTTCAAACACCTTGCACATTACTGTCCTCTGCTCTGTCAGTGACATTTAACAGTAGCTCCCAAACATCTACAGAAATCAAGTAAAAGGGTTGATTGCTACTCTATTATCTAGACTAACAAGATACCAGTTTACCTAAGATTTGTCACTGTCTTTCCAATTTTCCTAGAAGTGATTTTCTCTGAGACACTGAGGTCAATACGTATTTCTCCTGTTTCCCAACTGGACAAGATTATTTCACACAGAACATATGTATAATATTACGCCTTGATTCAAAATGCTGAGGGAGAAGAACTGAGGCCAAAGTCTGAGGAGGGCTTTCTGAGTGGCCCTTTGTAGTATTCAGTATGTACTGAACCTAGATATAATCAACACAGATGCAGAAAACACTGGGTTAACAGTTTCACATGACTTAAGTTCTGTAATGCAATTTCATTCCTTATAACAATCATAACTCGAGCACTTAAAAAACAAGCACCCGGTCACGAAGGGTCAGAAATTCACTTTCAGTTCTTGGAAAAACAAAGTTTATTCATTCTTAATCATGTAAAAATTAATGTAAAACCATTCAAAGTTTAATTGGAATTTTTGGAAATACCAAACTTTTCATATTCCAACTAGCAGCTATTGGTGAGCACAACTAAGATATTTAGAATTATATTCAAAAGCTCTCAGACAGAAAATTTTGAATACCAGCTATATGCTATGTACTTTCCCTCTATGAACTGATCCATATGCTATAATAACTCAATTTGGCACATTTGTTCTATGCCACACCATTTATTATTGATGGATGGCATTTCTGTGCATTTAAAACATCAATGCCTTTTGTTAAACCTCCCCCACCCAGTCCTTCTTAACCATCTACCTTAGACAACTATTCCAGTTCTCCTCATCCATTTTTAATGGTTCACTCGCTGTGATCTTTACCACCCACAAGGTCTATTAAGAAGGGAGAGATAGCGGCTACAAATCAACCTTTCTACAATAAGGACTTAAGGGGTTTGCTGTGAAATAGCACTACTAAGAGGCATCTGCCTCTCCTCCCACCAGGCCAAAAAAATAAGAAGTACATTAAATAAAAGCAAGGCACACAGCAAAGAAGAACACCACCCTACCCCACCCCACCGCCTCACACAGAGATACAGAGAGATCTTCTCAAGGCACCATAGTCTTGCAGACTGCTGAACATAGGTTTCAGAAGAGCAGAATTTCCCAAAGGTTGGGCTCATTGTATTTTGGATGAAACATTTACTGGAGGAGTTTAATCAGGCCATTTGGAATTACAAGTGCAGGACCTTACTGGAATCCTTAAATACCAGAACTGGACTCTTAGATCGAGGAGCTCACATCTCTTGGATTAAAATGAGCCAGCAAACTAAACAAATAATCAAAGAAATCTGCTTGGAACACAGAGAATGTTTATAAGTAGCTGGTTAAAATTCTGCTGCATCAAGGAAATTAAAATGAATTTTATTTTGTATAACTAATATGTCTAAGGAGCTCTGGTAGCGTAGTGGTTACGAATCGGGCTGCGAACCTTAAGGTCAGCGGTTCGAAACTACCAGCTGCTCCGCGGGAGAAAGATGAGGCTTTCTACTCCCGTAAGGATTTACACCCTCGGAAACCCTGTACAGGGTCGCTATGGGTCGGAACCGACTAGATGGCACATAACAACAACAACAACAACAATATGTCTATTTTACCATATACACTGGGTGCAATTAAAGGGTTAAATAAAATGGCACTGTAGGGTAAGCACTGGACTGGTAGCCACAGGTCAGTAGATCAAACCCACCAGCCACTCCTTAGAAACCTTATCCTGGGTCTCTGTTAAGTCAGAACACTCGATGATACTTAACAGCAAATAAAAAGAGAACACTGTGCCCTGGCCCTTTTTACTCTCACACAAATGGCATGTTGTTGTTAGGTGCTCTGCCACTCACAGGGTCACTCTCAGGACTATGAAGAAAAATGTAATTAAAAGATAAAAGACATTTTTCAACAACTTTTTTGAAGCCTCCTTGCATAGTCTCTACAATCAGTCCTCTAGGGTAAACAAAACAGAGACCATCCCAACAAAAGAAAATGCATCAAAGGGAAAAAAAAAAAAAAAAAAGGATGCTCT